GTTTGTATAACGGAAATTGGAATACGTTATACGGTCCTTATTTCTGGTTGCGGTCCGGCGAATGAGACACGAGTATTAGCTGTATTAACCGACTCTTTTTTACTGATTCGAATCTTTGACTGTCGAACAGTAATGGTATTCATGAGAACTGAGTTCCTTTTGTTCTGTTTTTTATTCTCTTTAAGTAAGCGTGCAAGAGAGTCATTATAGTTATGCACTCAAAACGTATATATTTAAAAAAAAATCAGTGTTGCACTCTCCACACAGATTTTAGTTAAGAATTAATTCAACGTACATTTTAGCATAGTTTGTTCTTTGGTTGTAAAGCATTTCAATTAATCAAGCTTTCAGTTTGACTAATTGCCTTCTTGATCAGATCTTTAATAAAAACACAGTTGCAATAAAAACAATAGTAACATTGAAACTCTGCTGCGGGAGCCCCGCCCCACAGAGACGGACCAATGAAGCTGTTTTTGCGGTGTTGGTACGTCACAAAGATGAGGCAAAACAGGCCAATGAAAAGGTACCGGCGTGTGACGTCAAATGCTGAAAAAGTCCGCCAAGTGCTTTAGAAAGCCACAGGTGAACGGCGTTATTCCTCATTAGCAGATCGACCTGATCGGAGTGGACGGCTGAGATAGAACGGTGAGCGACGGCTGGATTTTTCTGCTCTACTACTGGCGTTTTGACTGTTGTTGTATTGTTTGCTACGTAGCTTAAACTTCACTTAAGGTGGAAGAAAGTTTTATTTTAATTTTGCTGAAACTACTTAACGGCAGAGCCGCGTGTTCGGAGAACGTGTTCACTCTTCGAGTCATGTTCCACCATTTTAGTTACGTTGGGATTTCTGTGAACGGAGACCACGTGGAGGTTTTCCAGCGTCTCGAGTCTGAAATGTCTGAAAGACAAGGTGAGTGTTTAGGTTTCGGTTGTTTTTTAAAGTAATTTTTTGACAATCGTTGAATATATTTTCTTGTTTCTTTTATCATTCAATTAAACCTCTCGATTTCCTGACCCACCGGTGTCGGTGTTGGATCCATACTTCCTGTGACGAGCAGCATTTAAAGATAAGTTTGTTCTTCTTTGCTATATTTTTCAAAATTCATTAACGACCTCCTTTAAGGTTGACTGTTTACGAATCACCATGAAAACCATTTGTTTGTATAGTCTTTCTTCTAATTTTTCTTTTTACCTGTATTTCCTGCCCCACAGGTTGGTGCTGGATCCGTACTCCCTATGAAGAAGCACCATTAAAAGATAAGTTTATCCTTTTCTGCTTAATCTGTTTGTGGTTCATTATGTAACTTACAACTCAAACTTACAAGGTTTGAGTTAAATTATAAACTGTTATGGACAGTTTGTTGTTGTGTAGAAAACTTATTTGTGTTGTTCATGTTTAGGTC